TGTTGTCAGTTTCTATCCAGATTGCCTGAGGGAATGTCTGGAGGTGTAGGCACCTCGGAATGATTGTGTTAAGCTAGCATTAAGTCCCCCGTCCACCTTTACTCTTTTCTTTACAATAAGGCTTTCAAATAAGTCATGGTTGTACGGCAGTGAATCATCGGTGTTGAATACTGATGTAATGCTGTCGATGTTGATGATCATGATCATGAGCACGTGGACGCACCAGAACACGTCCATCACACGGCTTAGTCGATCATCTCAACCTACGTTACCGCGCACTTTCTCATCCTGCCGCCAAACTATACTTTTTTATTAGAGATCACTGCTCGGAGAAAAAAACACCTCCATATTCCCCGCTGAAAACCAATAGCCGTTGTTGTGTGATGAGCTCGGGTATAGTCTGGTCAACTGTGTTGGTAAATGAAGCCTGTTGCCTACCTCCCGGTTTTCTCCCATGAACAATTAGCCATCGAGACATGCCTGGCCATCGACCCTTTATCAATGACCATCGGCTAATTTCAGCGGCGAGCATTGCAGTTGCATGGAGGGCCTTTACGTCCGACATTGCAGACCTCCGCACCTCTTAAAAAACTCTACCGTATTGTATACAGGTCCTTTATGAAATTATGCAGTAAGGTACAGTCGACCGGCTGACTGAAAGGCACACAGTGTGGCTTACGTTGGGTCAATCTGTTATAGGGTGTGAGGCACATGCTTTGGCTAGCTTCAGGGATTTAGAAATACAGGGCTGCAGAGGACCGTCAACAGAAGTTCTAAAATGGGGAGTGGACCAGAACAGGTCACCTTAGGGACATGCAAGCAGCCTCCGTGTGCGTACTAGAAGTGCGTGGTCTATGTGAATCTTTGTGACTGCTTCGATTGGTGACAAATGCAGTCCTGGCCTCTGTCTGGGATGCATCAGCCAGCGAAAGGACATTCAGTCCCCGTAGCATCCGTTAGCCAGCCGAATGTGGACAACCTTGGCACATTATTTCGGTTGATGAAAAGTGCTTCCTAATGGGCTTGTGGGCTAGTTAATCACCAACATCCAATAAATGATTTGCACACTAATTGCTGTGAACGGGAGATGCAGCTGAGTTTTGAGTGAATCTTTCGTTTGTGTTGTTATCCAACTGAATTCACCGGTGATTTCGCCTGGGTCTGTACTTAGGATACTCTGGTATTTCCCCCATTAGCAATACAACACCTCACGTCGGTGTCCTGCAAAGGATTTACAGAACCTGATGTATTTGGAACAAGCTCGTTAGACAGTTCCTCGACAACCTATGACCTTTGTAAAGTTCTGGATGACCAGTGAAAAATTTTTCAGTAACTTCTCAGCAAGCGATAAAACAGGCGATTCCGAAGTGCTTTTTAGTTGTTGAGGTATCATCGTATTTACACATTACTAGTTTCGGGACAGTTTTGCAATGACGGACACGCCTTAGCAGCAGTCAGGCATCAGTTGTATGAACCATCGAGTACTGATCTTTCTGGGATACCTGAATGGCCTGTAATATCATCACACTTTCTACCTCGGTGGGTTTCTCGAAACTACACCAATCAAGCGCTTTTCACTCAACAACTGAGATTTCTCAGAAAATCTGAGGTCGCTCGGTATTGCTTTCTGATAATTCTGTCGGCTGATCCTTGTTTCATGTAACCAAACCCACTAGGACTAAGTCTCTGCGACAGTGCCTGATACTGAGACCCCTACATACGGTGTATCTTAGCCATTTTTGGTCGGAAAAGTTCTTCGTATACGGTTGTGCTCTTCTCAGAGCCTCGGAACCGTCTTGAAGAAACTGGACCTTGTCGGTGTGTGACAGTTTGCGTATTCCGACAACCCATTAAGTCATACTGGAGGTTGCCGTTGTAGCCTCCACATTTTTTTTCTACAAGGTTGGTGAACGGATAGAGGTCTGACAATCTCAGTTTTCTGACCGTTCAGACTGGGAGCTGTAACGAGTGTGGCAACCTCTTACTTAAAAGATAGTCTGTTTTTCGGTCAGGCAGTATATTAGAACTGCACAAACGAAATTTCGTTGGTAGCCTTAGGAGATTTTGGATTTCGCAATGGAGATTTCTTCCCGAAAGTGAAGTCAATGTACGCTAAAAATCCGAGGAGCACTGTACAACTGTTTCACCCTTATTGGCAATCATCAATAGTGTGCATCTTATGAAAATCCAAAGGGTTTCGCACCCGCGACCTTCCGGCCTTGGGCACTCACCCGTTCAACAACGGGTGGCTGATCAGCGGTGTGACTGACTCATACAAACGAACGAAACCACTTTCATGCCATATCGGCCATCGCGTGGTGATATCCGCCGGATAGCCCTAGTCGCTGCCTACGACAGGGCGGATAAGCCACAAATGTGGCTGCCGGCGGCCCCTGCCTTACTTCATTGTTCTCCCACATCAGTCACTTCTCTATAGCTCCCAGCGATAATTACGTCAGTGAGCCACCCACTCAACCCACACGATTGATTATGAACTCCAAATGAGCGCTTTGCTCGATTGGCTACCTGACTAGTGCAGCCTGACTGTCCAGATCCGTGAGAACTGACACTGGTCGAAATGCTGGTCGCCCCCATTTATAGTGTCCACTTATGCACCAACCATTTATAACTCAGATCCGGTGAAAGATAATCTCCATATGGAATTAACCACCTTGTCCGCCACAGTGAGCTCATACGTAGTTGCAACGACTGGAGCCTTCAACGTACAGGTAGGAGACCTTAGTTTGGATTAAAACCCGATGTTAATGGCGAGCGCTTATACCGACCACTCGTTGTCTCTCTCCTGTGTTTAGCTTCATTGTGTGTGTTAGTTGATTCCGGTTATTACTGAGGAACCATGGCGGTAAAATGTTTGTCTATCCGCTGGGCTTGGCAGTTTGATTGCACACGTTTCGTCACCTATCGAAGTGAGACTGTCAGTGTGAGGATGGGTAACGATAAGAGTTTGGTGTGTGATTTTAACCCTGAGAAGGTGGATCATTGGCAAAAATGACCGAAATGGGGATTTTTGTCTTTTCCGATGAAAGAATGCTCTTCAAATGATTAGTTATCACATGTGTTGTACAGCATCATATGTGACGGTGGTTTTAAAACTTGCTGGATTCATGGTTCGAACTCGAGTTTCCCGCAAAACATCAGTCGAAGGCCGAGGTGTGAGCGGCAGCCATCTTTAGGGAGCTTCAGCTAGTTTTTTTCGGGCACGGCTATTTCCTGGGATTGCGACATTGAACTGAGTGGCTACTAAATCGCATATGTGACTACTAGGAATGCTGTTTGAATCCCAGTTTTGGTGGCACTGATTATTTTAGTCACTTGAGATGCTATGAGACGTGTCATTCATCAAACTTGGGAAGAGTGGCTCATTCTCGAGCAAAAAATGGCCATCACCCATTGCCTGTTGTACACTGGCTCTTCACTATTGATAGATCCCACTAATTCAGCATTTTTCAAACTAAGATTCTTGACTCTAACTTGAAATGTCTGTTCATTTACCAATATGCTTTTACATAAGCAAAAAAAGGTTAATTCGATAATACCCAGGACTGAAGAAGTACTTCCTTTGGGTAACGGGAAAACGTGTGAGCATTTATTGTATAGACTGTATGGTCGTGAACAGCAGTACACAATGACATTCCTTTCGTTCCACTGGAATGCTTTTGAGGTGATTCATCAGCTAACAGTCCTACTGTTGTTGCGAAAAAATCCACAGTGTCACTTTTGAGTATGTCGTTTGCAATGAATGCACTTTCCAGTTTTCACTTACGCTTTATTCTATTTCTTCTCGCAATAACAATCCTTTGCTGCGATAGTTTGAGATTCTCAAGAGGATCACGTGCTTTCGGCAGCAAATGTTGCACTCATCGAAATCTGTTAGCTTGGGGATCATGCGGTGTTTGTTCCGAACTAGTCGACGGGCTCATTGTCCGTGGTCAATAGCCGGGAACTCTTAACCAACCAAAGGGTTAGGTAACCAACCTATCTACGCCTATCCTGGCAATACTAAGGACCTCGTGCAGCACATCATCGCTGTGGATATTCTTTTGGCGTTTGAGTCCATGACTTGAGAATTTTCAGGTTGTCTGCGAGGATCGATGACTACTGAGATGAAACGACCTTACTACTCACCAAGAGGCGGGACAGAATCACATCTAGATCGGTTGGCTATTGCGCATGTGCATTGTATGGCTATCGAACTAGGGTGTTGCGCTGTCTTAGAGCCCGGAGACAGTGGAGAGTGATCATGAGGTAACAGTGCCCTGGCTAGGTTTGCTTTTGGGTGTGGTGAAGGTGGTGCGGAAAACCCATCCCATGCAAACAGCCTGGAACAACGTCTAACCCCAATGGCATATTTGCATTCCAGGAGCCACAGTGCAGCATGCGTTCGCCGGTTGGTACCAGAGAGAGTCTTACTTTAGTCCGGTACGACCTATGTAGAAAGCTTTGTTTAGCAGAGGCCCTACACTTTTTGCACTTTTGCAAACTACGTATCTAACATAGGGTGAACTGTGTACCAGTAACCGAGTGGAAGTCCCTTCGTACATTCTTACGGCTTGTGTGGCATCCAAGGTCGGCCGGTCTTTCCGCGCCACCATAGTTCCCCATTGTTTACCCTTTGAAGAGTTGTGGTTTAAATAAGCTTTGGGATCGATTTTGGAAGATAGACTAGGCAGTACTTTTTGAGGGCTTCTCATTTTCAAGTTACCAAGCTCACCATGATATGTTTCGCTCAGGAAGAAAAGAGAGCTTTTTCTCAACCTTGGGTTTTTCACTGAATGGTTTCTGTCTTCCTCAACACCATACTGACCATTTAACTGGTGATTGTAACATCTCACCTTAGATTATGGTCCTGGAATGCGGAATTCAAAGTCCAACAGTTCTCGTCGTATGCGTGCTCGAGCCAGAGCGAAAAAGTTACGTGAGACAACGGCTGCAATGTCAGAGCAGGATGAACTGGCCTCGTCTACTGCAGATGCAGATGATGCAGACAATTCTGCCAGCTCTCTATCCTCATCTTCCACTGACGAAGACCGTCAAACAGGAGACGAAGGAGAGGAAGGTGAAGACGAAAAACCGCCGAGTCACGCGAACGAGGTTGACGACCTTAATAAGCCACAGCAAGCACAAGATGTGTCGACAACTTGTGTGTGTGACGCAGATAACCAATCTAAACATGAGGTAAACCCTTTCCTTATTTAAACCTTTTGCTCTTCCAAAACCGCGTGTCCAATTGTCCGCTTTCAACCGTCCTTATCCGCCTGGTTTATCAGAATAACGAACAAGACACTTCTCCGTCTGGTGCTGACTCCAATCCAACGGGTCAAGTTGATAAAGTTGAGGAAACCGGAGATACTCCAATGTCTGAAGTGGAATCGGGCCCGAAGTCTGCTGAGGAGACGGCTGATCCCGAAGAGCCTATGGTCACAGTAAGTCAATTTGGTCCAGTATTGTGTTTCACTTGAACGAATGTATTCATGAATGCAAATCGGGGTTTTCACATGCAATTTACACAGAAAGCTTCCTTCCGGTTATGCAGAATGTACGTCACACATGACCGGCCTTACTTTTGCAGCTGTGGCCTTGGCCACACCAGATCTTTCCTCATACTCCTTGTAACATGTTTTGGTTTTGAGTGGTCGGAGTCTATTTGATACTGACGACGCGTTTTGCCCTCCTCCGCTCTCACCATTTACAGAAAACAGAACATTCAGCTGGTGACCATCGAAACGGTATTTTAACTATACTGCCAGGTGGTTGATCACACGTGTGCATGCCATGTTTGAGGGCTAGGTTCAATCTCCTATCAAGTGCAGCCATCAAATGGTGACCAGTTGCAGAAAATCCCACTTACGACCTTTTCCACTCTTAGCGGCGTTGATCTAGTATATAGATTATACGGTTGATCACGTGATCTACCAGTTAGCAGCCGTCACAGCCTTATCGTCGGTCGCTGTTCGAATAGGAACAGTCGGATGTACCAGTCGTATGTACATCACCATATGACGGCTGTCTCTTATGGGAGAGCCATGCCTGGTAAGGGCAGTTCGACAGTGCCAACTAAAATTGGTTTCCTTCAAGAACTGATGTTTTTGGAGGGGGATATCTCTCGTTCAAACCGATAACACAGCGTTCAAACACGGATTGACTAATCACATCAAGTTCCTAGAGGGTCGGGATGTGGTATTCTCCAGGACGAAAAGGTGATATACTTCCAGAACACTGTTCAACTCGGACATGGCGGTCGTCTATCTACACTTTGCTGCTTGCATGTGATATATCGATTTTACTTGCTCTTTTTTGCAGCAACCCGATCGGCATGAATTCTCGCTGATTGCGTGGGACACTAAAAGCCTAAAAGAACTATTGTCTGAACTTCGAACCTTGTTGGAGCGTGCACAAAGAAGACTTTCTGATCCGAATCCAAGTGACTGTTCTCCAACTCAAAAGGAAGAAGATGGCACACCTTCCGTGGATGCTTTCCGTTTGGAAGCCAGTGACAGTTTTTCTTCGGTTACAGATGTAGAAGATGGACCAGACAAGGTACTTTTGGTTCTCCTTGATAAATCATTTGACTAATAAGCGTGATTAAAACTCAGTTGTGGATAAGTTTCTCACCTTTTGGGTAACTGGGAAGGCGCTATCCCCCCATTCCAATCGATCTTATTAATTTTCTTGAAGTTTTGAAAATTGTCTGTGCAGAAATCTCCCTCCCATTGAATCCACCGATAAAGAAACACCTTTAGCGACGGTGCTCTCCTCCCTTAGGAGACTTCTAAGTTCCCCGGTATGTTGGCTGTACGGACTGCAGTTGGCTACATGTGTTAACGAGCGCATCCTTCCCACATGTCAGCTTATCAGCCTTTCACTTCTCGTGAGAGAGTATGCATCAGTTGCGTTTGTGTTTGGAATCTACCTATTAGCTTAGTTTGGATGCACCGATTCGAATTCTTCATGTCCTCTAAGCTATGCTTTGGGAATTACGTCATAGAACAGGGCGAGATGGCCCAAGTGGTTGGAGCACGAATTTACTGACCGGAAGGTACGTGGTTCGAACCCGACCTCTGCCTCTCGACTTCCCCTGTCTAGGCTTGGGCAACCTGGCAGTATCCCAGCCCTCGTGCTTCCTTCGGGTAGCGTGGCAGTTAGGCACCGGAAGGGTGCTACAGCTGAACTGAACTTACGTCATAGAACGTTGGATAGTTCCTGTACAATTCTTCCCCATACTGTACAAAAAGAAACGTAGATTCTTTATTATTTGTATCCTATGGGTATTTGGAAATGATCTTCTTGATGTTGACACAATTACCATATTCGATGCGTGTATTGACAACTGATTGGCTAGCAGCTGGAAATCACCTACTTCAACTCGCTGTATGCACCCACGCGTTTATTTGTATAAAACATTTAAGTGTTTCCGTATTATTTCTTCGGTCACCTCCTGACGTGGTCATATATTCCTTCATCATTCATCACAATTAGGACTACAGGTCTAAGCGTCAAGTAGTTGGCCGTCGCGAGCATCATTCATTTGGCCGACTACGCCGCGGTATTCAAATGCTGAAACAGCTTATTCGAAATCTGGAACAATTGGAAACGTCCATGCGGAGTCGTCATAATGAGTGTGAAGATGCCCAGAGATTAGCTCGACTGCGGTTACGAAAGGACGTTGCTGTGTGGCAAGCCAAAGAGGTTAGTTATACACAAAAGTGTAATCACGCTATCGACATTCATTTGTCACTTGTCTTGTCCCATGTTCTTTCTTCATAAAGATCACTAATTGTGCTCACGAACTGGTTTCCGGCTACGGTGTGATTTTTTCTTTTTGCTTATGACCGCGTGGGTGCGTGACTAGCACACGTACCGTAGAAGTTGTTCAATACGTTCAACGCTACTTATATTTAATCCTCTTCATGGGTTGCACTACCTTGTCCAGTTCTGGCGGGGACGTTATAGAGAATCGTCTACTGCCCCGATCGGCTGATCCGCAATTACTAGGTTAGGGTTTGAGCCCATCCAGCCTTGCAGATGTGAAGCGCATGCCAAACCGTGATGCAGAATTATTTGGATTTAGTATTGTTTGCATCAAATCCAAGAAGAGCTATATCATCTGCGTACTCGACATCTGTGAATGGACGCCCCGGTAGTACTTCTACCCCACAGGCATTAGAGACTGATAGTGAGTCTTCCATAATCGTATCAATGACGAAGTTGAAGAGTAATAGCCTGACACCACTTGATGTGGTGAACTCAGAAGAGAGCTTCCCTTAGACCTTCACATGTCTTTGGGAGTTGGCATACGGCGCCTTAAGGAGGGTCAGGAATTTATGGGGGAACCTTTGCTTCATAAACACTGTCATAGGGCCTGACGGTCCACACAGTTGCAGGCAGTTTTTAAGTCAAGGAACACAACCATTGTTGGTTGTCGGAAGCAGTGTCACTGTTCCAGAATCTGTCGAAGGGTGAAGATGTGATCAGTACATCTTTACAGGACGGAACCCAGCTTGGTTTTCACGGATCTCTCTCCCTGAGTTCAGCCAACCTTCGAAGGATAAGGCCAGAGGGGACCTTTGATGGCGCAACTAGTAGGCTGACGTCACGGTGGCCTTCATACAGCGTTCGCGTACCATTTTTGAAGTAGGGGATAATTGTCGACAAGCCCCACTCCTCAGACACCTCTTCGTCCCATATGGCACCAATAAGCTTTGTTGAATGGGTCACCAGGGATTTTCCGCCATCTTTGAAGAGGCCTGGATACAGACCGTCCGGTCCTGGTGCCTTCTCATGTTTTAGCACGGATATTTTGTACTGTATTNGGAAGGTCCGTGGTTCGAACCCGACCTCTGCCTCTCGACTTCCCCTGTCTAGGCTTGGGCAACCTGGCAGTATCCCAGCCCTCGTGCTTCCTTCGGGTAGCGTGGCAGTTAGGCACCGGAAGGGTGCTACAGCTGAACTGAACTTACGTCATAGAACGTTGGATAGTTCCTGTACAATTCTTCCCCATACTGTACAAAAAGAAACGTAGATTCTTTATTATTTGTATCCTATGGGTATTTGGAAATGATCTTCTTGATGTTGACACAATTACCATATTCGATGCGTGTATTGACAACTGATTGGCTAGCAGCTGGAAATCACCTACTTCAACTCGCTGTATGCACCCACGCGTTTATTTGTATAAAACATTTAAGTGTTTCCGTATTATTTCTTCGGTCACCTCCTGACGTGGTCATATATTCCTTCATCATTCATCACAATTAGGACTACAGGTCTAAGCGTCAAGTAGTTGGCCGTCGCGAGCATCATTCATTTGGCCGACTACGCCGCGGTATTCAAATGCTGAAACAGCTTATTCGAAATCTGGAACAATTGGAAACGTCCATGCGGAGTCGTCATAATGAGTGTGAAGATGCCCAGAGATTAGCTCGACTGCGGTTACGAAAGGACGTTGCTGTGTGGCAAGCCAAAGAGGTTAGTTATACACAAAAGTGTAATCACGCTATCGACATTCATTTGTCACTTGTCTTGTCCCATGTTCTTTCTTCATAAAGATCACTAATTGTGCTCACGAACTGGTTTCCGGCTACGGTGTGATTTTTTCTTTTTGCTTATGACCGCGTGGGTGCGTGACTAGCATACGTACCGTAGAAGTTGTTCAATACGTTCAACGCTACTTATATTTAATCCTCTTCATGGGTTGCACTACCTTGTCCAGTTCTGGCGGGGACGTTATAGAGAATCGTCTACTGCCCCGATCGGCTGATCCGCAATTACTAGGTTAGGGTTTGAGCCCATCCAGCCTTGCAGATGTGAAGCGCATGCCAAACCGTGATGCAGAATTATTTGGATTTAGTATTGTTTGCATCAAATCCAAGAAGAGCTATATCATCTGCGTACTCGACATCTGTGAATGGACGCCCCGGTAGTACTTCTACCCCACAGGCATTAGAGACTGATAGTGAGTCTTCCATAATCGTATCAATGACGAAGTTGAAGAGTAATGGCCTGACACCACTTGATGTGGTGAACTCAGAAGAGAGCTTCCCTTAGACCTTCACATGTCTTTGGGAGTTGGCATACGGCGCCTTAAGGAGGGTCAGGAATTTATGGGGGAACCTTTGCTTCATAAACACTGTCATAGGGCCTGACGGTCCACACAGTTGCAGGCAGTTTTTAAGTCAAGGAACACAACCATTGTTGGTTGTCGGAAGCAGTGTCACTGTTCCAGAATCTGTCGAAGGGTGAAGATGTGATCAGTACATCTTTACAGGACGGAACCCAGCTTGGTTTTCACGGATCTCTCTCCCTGAGTTCAGCCAACCTTCGAAGGATAAGGCCAGAGGGGACCTTTGATGGCGCAACTAGTAGGCTGACGTCACGGTGGCCTTCATACAGCGTTCGCGTACCATTTTTGAAGTAGGGGATAATTGTCGACAAGCCCCACTCCTCAGACACCTCTTCGTCCCATATGGCACCAATAAGCTTTGTTGAATGGGTCACCAGGGATTTTCCGCCATCTTTGAAGAGGCCTGGATACAGACCGTCCGGTCCTGGTGCCTTCTCATGTTTTAGTACGGATATTTTGTACTGTATTTCCTCTTCCGACGTGGTGCCACGTGATGCAACTGGGTCTACGGTTGATTTGCAGTTGGTGGTCGCCAAGTAACGCGACGCGAACGTTTATGTTCAAAGTTCGTACTTGTCAGGAACAGTTCATGGCCAGCACACAACTGAACGAGTTGATCTCCATTGTCTGTGCGGTGAGCATCGACTCTGAATCGACCACCCAAATGTGATCCCAATGAGCTAAGAGGGCCTACTTGAGCATTCATATCGCCCACAAGTATCACAATATCAGTGTTTCTGACTTGACGAATGAGCCCGGTTAGGTCTCGATAGAAAGTATCCTCAGTATCAGAACTGTAATCCGTTGGAGCATAAGCCGACACTACAAACAGGCACCGCCTTTTATGCGGAGAAGCATTGAGCTTGATTGAGCTGGAGAGACGTACGGCGCAAAGACGACCGTTTACTAGGATCAATCCAGCAAAGCGCATTCACCTCTGTGGCCGAGTGCAACTCCCACGACGTATATTCCACGAGTCATCGCTTCTGAGTCACCGGACACACGGAGGCAGAAGTGTGAAGCAGCTGAGATGCATAACAGCGTTTGAGTCTTGTATGTGTGTTTCAGAGACACAGCTTACATCAATTTTAAGGGAGTATATAATTTTAGCGATCACTGTCTGTTGGGCAGTATGACAAAGGGTACGGACGTTGAAAGGTGTCATTTTTTTGGTTAGTAGGCATTGGGGAGGATAAGGCCTTTCGGTATGATAAATGACAGTCAAGAGTAACGTCTACTTTTGTGATGAGAAGGGGTTGGGGAGGGACATCAGTGGACACAGAACTGTGCGGGCAAGTGATACTTCCCGGTTGCCCATGCCGAGGGAGGGGGTTTAGTTGAGGCACTCCACATTGAGTCTTTGACTCAAAAGTCTGACCCGCGAGGCAGCAGATAATAGGGACTCCTCACGGGACCCTGCCCGGACCCAGTGACTCAATAGTCTGACCTGCTCGGCTGCAGGGAGTTGGCTTAATCAGAAGGCGCTAGGAGTAAGACGTTAATGTCTCACTCCTGGTGGGGCTGCGCGCCGCAGGTGTCTTTTGAGCAGCACCGGACCGTATTGAATAATGAGCCGGCGGTGACTTTCAAACTTTGGGCGATTTGAGTGTGCGGTTATTAGGGCTGACCTTTTCTAACCCGTCCTTCCTTGAGACAGCATCGCTGCTTCCATGAATATGGATATTCTAGTCACCTGAGCGAAACACCTTGTGGAACGAAGTTGCAGCTTCTGTAATCCACGGGATCATTTTAGCACTCAAGGCCGACCACCATGTCAAGGTAGCAGCTTTAGTTCGAACTATTGTGACGTAAGCGGATACGATAAACAAGCGAAGATCAATTAACCATTGGTGGGATTTCTCGGGTTCTGCTAGGCGAACTGCATGAGGCTGACCATCAGCGGGTATCCAATCAATTCAGAATCCTTCTGCCTGTATTTCTCGGGGCTAGGCGAACTGCATGAGGCTGACCATCAGCGGGTATCCAATCAATTCAGAATCCTTCTGCCTGGGGACTTAGACCGGCCGGCA